GCCATCGGCGCCCGGCCTTGTCCATGGGTAGCCGTTCCCGAATCGGCCCGGCGGCCGCTGTGAAAGTGCTTAATGTATTGTGAATAATATAATCCGCGAGTCACCCCGAGGCCTCCGGGGGCCGAAACGAGAGCAGAGCGGCGCATCAAGTATTGATGCCGCCTCGCTGACCGCCGACTCGTGGCCAGCCATTGGAGGGCGCGGGGGGCGAGGGGGAGCAGGGGTCAGGGGGTGGCAGCACGTGCGCGTCTAATGCCACGCCGGGGCGAAGATGGCGGTGGGGTGCACCCAGTGTCCTGCACTCTCCTTAATGGGGTGTCACCGATACCCACCCCCCCAGGGGGTGGGCAGGGCCGATCATCTTTGTCTCCCGGGTCTGCGGAAGGAATTTAGAGGCCTACCGGGAATCCCGGGGAGCGCGCACCTTAATGGGATTGGTGTTCGCGGAACGATCATTAACGTCGACGTCCTCGACGGGGACGGTGCGGGGCCCTCGCCGCGCGTGGACGCGCCGTTTCCGCCCCTCGACTCCCGGGGGGCGCGGACTTGGACGTTGGCCCAGGGCCCTCGCAATTATGGACGTTAAGTGGTTATTAGCACGCGGACCCCTATCAAGACTGGGACTCCATTCAACGATGACCCCCCCCCCCCCCCATCCGGCATGATTTTGAAATATAATAATCGCGACATGTTAATGAAAGGAAAAAAGAAATTATTAATCGCCCCCGAAATTTGGAAATTTCGCTTACCCGGGAGCGGTTTTCAAAAACGTACGCACATCATGCGCATGGTTTAGAAAAGCAATAACTGCGATATGATAAAGAAAAAGAGAATGAATTGCCTCTAAAATTCGGGCGATCGGAAAACGGCGAACCCAGGGAGCCCCGGACCCCCGGGGGGCGGCGACCCGTTATACAAAGTTAATCCGTGCGCCGACCGGCCGCGGGACGGACGCGGATTACGTCGAGCGACAAGTAGAGGACCAGAAAGGCTAATGAGTGGCCGAGGCTAATACCGGGCTCAGTGCCCCCGCGGCTCTTCTCCCGGGGGAAGGGGCTCCGTTCTTCGTCTCCCGCGATATATACGCCCGCGGGCTAAAACCCACGAATGCGCCCTCGAGATACGAATGTTTTAAATCCGGCCGGATTAGCGGGGGGCGCGGACAAGTCCGAGCCCCCCGTCTCTGGAGGTGAGTGGAAATCGGCGTGGGCGCCAAGGACGCCTCTTTTCGACGTTTTATCCCGCCGCGGGGTTTCGGTCTCCCCCGATATACCCACATACATCCGCGAGGGGTACATAGGTGCACATATGTACCGGCAGGGTCAGTGTCGCGAAAGGGGGTGAGGGATTAACGGCGATAAATTTCGCAAAAATAGGGGCTTACGCTGTCGCGGGCGGGGACGGTCTAATCCCGGTCGCCCGGGCCCCCCTCCAGGAGAAGGGGGTCCCCTCTTCCAGGGAAGAGATGGCGGTACCGGCAGGATCGGCCGGCCAGTTTTTGCAATTATCTCCAGGCTTTAAGAACCTTTTTTAATCGGCGCCCCTCCGAGTTTCCAGGGCGACGATAAATTTCCGCGCCTTCCCCGAGGAGGGGAATGCACGTCCTGGATCTTTGGGGCGGGCGGGGGGGTGGAAAAACGCGGAATCGCCAAGAAGACGCGCATCGAGGCCCCACGTCTCGCCGCGACTTTCGGGGGGGACGCGCCCCCCTTCATAAACATTACCCGGCGGGAACCGCGGCAACCCTCGGGAGAAAAGACGCGGATAAAAGACGGGGGGGCGAGGCGCGGATTTGTTCGGGCGGAAAACTGCCGGTCGATGTATGCAAACGTCTCTTCCATGTCCTCGAGAGCCGATAGGGTGACAACGGGCGTGTCGCCCAACCGGCGACGAACGGAACCCGCTCGTCTGCGGGGGAAGAATTGTCCCTGAAGGTCCCGGTGGAGGCGCGTCGAGGGGTCGCGGGGTCGTCAACGGGGCCTGGTCGCGCCACGCGAAGGGGGTCCTTGTCGGGTCCTGGGGCCAAAGGGACGCGGGAGCCCCCGCCCACCATCAGGTGCCGTCTCTTGGAGGAGACTTCCGGGCAAACCGGGACAATTCGTGGCGTGCCGGCTGTTGCCACACGGTGGGACCGAGAGATAGCAGATCTAAGTGGGCCATGCCGCGCTACGGTTATGGCGGCATAAAACGCTCCATGGGTACCGGAGGGGCCGCGGCTGGGAGTCAAGTCGAGTGCCGGGAGAGCCCCTTTACTGCCGAAAAAACTGCCACTATGATTGTCTATGCAAATTGTTTAAGATATCCGCCAGGACCATTTCCGACCCCCGGACGCGGTGCCAGGACGGCGCCCCTTGGCACCCCCGACAACGCGAACGCGTCGCAATTCCGGACAATAGGGACACCCCTTTTCCTCTGCATCGAATAGAACGTGGGACCTTGAATGACGCTACGCGGATTTTCGTTAGATTTGGAAAAATTGAGAAAAGTCCATCTGGACTGCTGCAGTTCGTCCGGTCCGGTAATCAGCGAATTGGCGTTGAGTCGCGCCACCCGATATACGGCGGGCTCTGGTGCGGTACAGAACGGGCGAATGTAATTTCGTAGAACGCTTCTCCATTGATATAAGAAGAGTAGGAAGGTCGACGAAGTCCCGACGCGGTGGGGCGGGAAGGGGGTGGGGTCGACGCTAACTCCGTAGAAACTGCAAGCTAGACGGATATATCTCCCGAGTAAATTAAAATGGATTATATATGTCGACTCCGGTTCGCGATCTCCCTTCTTTTCCCCTTTCCTCCCGTTTTACTCCTCCTCCTCCTCCCCCCCTCCCTCTGGCACATTTACTTTATCACCCCGCACCCTGCGCCCAGGGTAATTGTTATTGCCGCGAAATGATTTCGCGCGACTCGAGACGAAGGATTCCGGTTGACTCGAAGAACGCTCCGAATTTAAAGGACTATTCCCCTCGGAAATCAGTGAAAACAATTTCCTAATTAGAGAATTGTTGCTTTCGATTTCGTATGATAAACGGCAAGGTGATTCGGTAAAAAGTGACGATATAAATTGACAATGTTTGCCGTAAAGTTGGCAATGTTACGGGGACCAACGATTCCCAGTGACTTTAGCTTGCGATTTCAAGATGATTTCCACGTGATGTCGAGCATTAAAACGCATAAATTTTTCAGCTATGTGTGTTATTTTTCGTCGAATTCAATTTCATTCATGAATCGGGAAATCATGATTTCCTTAGTGAACAACCAAATGGATTTCGAGGATTTCGGATCCTCGGCTTGAGGAACCTGACCTCACCCCTTATCTAGGTTGGAAATGGTCCATTTGTTCGAGTTTCTCCTGCGTCTCATATTTGCGAATTCTCCGAGTTAAACGTCGAGAGGGTCGGCCCCGTCGCGGAGGGAGGGAACTCGGTCGAGGAATTTCAGCGGAGTCAAAGCGCACCCCGGTAAATATGGCCGCCACGACGTCGAGAGCGATGCGTGCTTCCCTTCCGTCTAATTAAACTCCGAGAGGGTCGCCAGGGGTGGCGGACCCCCCGTGAGGGTGGGCGGAAGGCATTCGGGACGACAACCGGGGAGGCGCCAACTTTGGCCGAGGTTGCGACGCGACCGCAAAGCCAGTTCTCGCGACGTCGGGGAGACAGTTACCGCCCCGACCGGGCGGAATAATTCCGCCCGGGCGGAACGCGGGCGGTCACCAGATGTGCCCCGCTTCCCAGTCCCCGGACGCGCCAGTGCACCCGGAGGAACTCTCGTCTCTCTCCGGATGCCCTGGACGCGGTTGAAAATATTGCCCACGCAACAAAATCCCCCCCCCCAAAGGAGAGAAAAAAGAAAAAGACGGAGAAATCTCAAGTCGAGCGGTGGAACGCAGAAAAGATCCGCGTTTAATCGTCAAAGGCCCCCGATTGAAAGCGAGCGGTCCTGACGGAGCCCTCCTTTTCTTTTTTCTCCCTTTCCAGGGAGAATCGAACGAGAACGGTAGCGACAGGGGATTCATCGGACTCGGCAGGGCCGAAAGATGAGATTCGCAAAGGGCCGATCGAAGGATGGGCGGGAGGCGAGGGGGTGGGAAAGCGGACGCGCAATCGAGCTCGGCGGGACAGAAGTTTAATCAAACCGTCGGCGGATGTGGTCGGGCAAATATGCGCTGAGGGTGGGAGGGGTCGGGGAATCCGGGTCCATCAAATTAATTTAATTTATATCCGGCGGTCGCGCCCATCCCTCACCCCTGGGCAGGAAAGAACCACCGAGGAGGCCGCTGTAGACCGACCGACGGGGTACCGGAAATGGCGCGATCTGGGCGCAAAGCGTCACCAAGGGCCTTCGTAGATCCCCGAAAAGTCACCCCTTCACCCCTTCCGTGGCAAGGGGTGCTTGTCTTTGCCCAGGAGCGTGATTATCGACGAACGAACGCCGCATGCATTAGACCGTAAAGCCACTATCCCAACGTCATATCCAATACACGCAGTGGGGTACGCAGAGCGGCGCCGGGGGTTGCCACCCCCCCGACGCGGTAATGGCATTAACCGAGGCTGCAATATGATTACCGCTAGCAAGGTAACCTGATCACCCCCGAAATCTACGGGGTGTCCGATGCATCGCGCAGGGTGACAGCGTGCCGCGGCGCAGCGCCGGTGCGCTTTTTGCGGGGGCTCGGATTACCCGTGAATCATAGGGGGATATGGCGAGGGGGCGCCGGCGTCCTTGTCGCCCTATTGGAAGATTACGTCCCCGATCTTCCCTGGATCCTTCCCAAAGCCTCCCCCTTGTGTTCGCACCCCGTCCAATTCCGTGCCCGGCAGTTTCCAACGACGGAACGAATCGCGCCTTGAGAACCCCCTCCCTCCCCCCCCGATAGTCGCCGTTCTCGCCGTGGACTTTTCGAATAAAATGGAGAACGTATATTGGTATGTACGCGTATACCTCCTGGCGAAGTGAAAACCCTAGATAAACCCGGTTCAGCTGACAGAAACCAGAGACACTCACCGTGAGGTGTTGGAAGAGCCACGCCCTGAGGATGTTGGTCGCGACCTTCGGGAAGATGCCCCGCTTCTTCTGGTTCTTCTTTCCCGACGAGTCGTCGTCTTCCTCGCCCGTCCCCTCGCCGCTGCCGATACTCGCGTTACTCGCGTCACCTGGAAGAAACCGCAAAAGCGAGCGATCAATACGAGTCCACCCTGCCAGGCTACACGAAACCCGCGAATTAAATCCTAAACGTCAATGCACGAATTAAATCCGAAACATCGACGCGTGAATTAAATAATAAACATCGACGCGTGAATTAAAACCTAAACATCGACGCGGGAATTAAAATCTAAACATCGACGCGCGATTTAAATCCCAAACCTCGACTCGTGCTCCCCAAAAATTTTAGCCGAATTAACGAATGAAGTCCTCGCCCCCACGAGGTCTCCCTTTTATAAGAGCGTTCCGTCGTTCCAATATCCGAGTCCATCGATCGGCTAGATCTCGCCCCTGTTTCTGGTCCGGTCTCCGGGCCTCGCCGCTCGCACCCGCTCCCCTTGCATACAAACACCATTAAGCCACCCGCAATCACCCACCCCGGGGGTGTCCCGGCCCTATCGGGGTTGATTCCCCCCCCTCCGGCCCTCGCCCCGCGCTCTCTGGAGCCTCCACCCCTCGCATTAATTCCCCGTCATTTATCAATCTTAGCTTTTTAATTGCAGGCAACTCCCGGTCTCCAGAGGGACGGGAGTTCGAGGGAGGGCGAAGCGTGGAGAGGGGGGTGGGGAAGCCAGAGGCAAGGCGGTAATGAGAATTATTAAGATGGCTCGCGCGGTCTTGTATCTCGAATGGCGAACCAATTATCATTCTGATAAACCTGCGCGGTGGTCGGTGTCCCCCACGATTTTCCCTCCTTTTTCCCACCCCCCTCGCGATCGCTCCCACCGGAAGTCCCGAGGGAACGCACTCCTTTCCCAGGACACGCGCCACCGAGTAACGACGCCGACGCGTCGCACTCGACGGCGGATTATAAATGACCGAATCTTATCGAACGACCTCCGCTCTCGTTCCCGAGGCTCTATCGCGTCCGTGAAACCCAGGGGGGCAACTCCCCCCGGGGGTTCGTCGCCTCGGTCCCGCTTCCGAGTCTCTCAGGGGGAATTTTTTTTACATTTTCTTCCCGCCAGGAATGCACTCCACGTATTTATACGTTTTCCACTCTCCACGTTCGAAAGACAGTGAGAGAGGGGGAGAGAGAGAGAGAAAGAAAGAGCGACGGCGAGCGGAGGGAAAATCGGTGGTTTCCGAACTCCTCCAGAGAGGGACACGCCCCGAGGAAGATGGAGGGGGTGAGATGCACCCGAGTGCATCTAAGTTGGCGGGGGCGGAGGGGGGACATCGAGAGAGAGTATCGCCGGGAAGAGTTCCGCAAAACCGGAATTCCGCAGTGCCGTCGGGCGGAATTGGGTTGCGGAAGGAAGACGCAGGGAATCGGAGGGGGTGGGGGGGACGGGCACACAGGGAATGGGCGAGAAAAAAAGTGCATAAAGAATACGCGAGTCGAAGATACCCTGGGGAGTGGGCGCTCTCCCGGCACTCCGGCCATCCAATTATTATCGGGCCGTTTCCCGAGGGATGCGAGCGAGGGGATGTCGGGAGGGAAGGAGGGAGGCGAGGTTCCCTTCCGTTTTTTCCTTCCACCCGCCGCCCTTGTTTTCGTTCGGCGGGTAAAAGCCGTTAGCGGAGGTGCTTTGGCATGCGACAAAAACGGGCGACCACTCCGCCCCTGATCTCTCGCTCTGTCTCTCTCCGTCGCGCACGGTACCCGCTACGTCTCTCCTTCTCGCTCCATAGGCCTCCGGTAATGGCGCGACGCTCTCTCCGAGGGCGGACGGCGAGGTCCGCGCGACGCCGACCGCCGGCCGGCGGAATGGCGGAACGGCGGAATGGCCGGCTAGAACGTCCCTCTGATTGCAGTTAATTTACTCGGCGAATCGGGTTAATGTAGCGTAAGCACCACCGTCCGCACCGCGTGGACCCGCGTGCACGCGTGCGGCCTGCCGTGTGCGGGCGATTGCGCCGTCTCTCCCCGTCGATAATGCGGACCCCCCTTCCCCCTTCGATAACCCCCGCGTCGTAAAGACGTCGAGACGCCATGTCTATTGGATGACGGATAACCTCGAAACCTCGAAATTCGTTATTGTGGATTTTAACGAAGAATACGCGTAATTTTAATCCCTGGTTCCGTGTGGGAAACGCGACGGGGTGCACTATGCGGTGGGGATGCACCTCTCTCTCCCTGATGGCCATCGCGTCGTAAAGAAATGGAGAGACGCTCTGTCTATTGGATGACGGATAACCTCAAAACCTGAAAAGTCGTTTCCAAAAACTTTATTCGGGACTGTTCCAAATTTCGATCCCTGACTCCGCGTGCGGAACGCAAACAGGTCCACCTCTCCCTTCCCAGTGGTCATCGCATCGTAAAAACGTCGGGACGCCGGGTCTATTACATGACGGATAACCCCAAAACCTCAAAATTCGGCATCAAGAAGTTCATCGACGACTATCCCGAGTTTCATCCCGACTCGATTCCGCGTGGTCGGACAAGCCCATTACGCGCTTCATTTTTCGCCTGCGGCTCGTCCGCGCGGTATCTTTCAATTCCTGGCTCCGTGTGCAGAACGCGGAGGGGCCGCACTACCCCGCACGCGGCCGTTAATTTCACGTATGATTTGAGTCCGGATTAATTCGGCGCCGAGCGCCGGAATCGCGGCTCGAACGAGGCGTTTACGAGGGCGCTCGGAGGGAGCGAGAGAGAGAGAGAGAGAGAGAGACACCGACGAGGTCGCCGTATCGTCCCCGCGTTGATTTACGCGGCGAGCCGCGCATTTTTACTGCGGCGTTATATAGGGATTTAAGTGCGGCCAATTATACATTTATGCCTCCCTCGCGACCGAGCTTCCTCCGCGATGCCGCGAGAGGGTGCTACGCGCATTTTTTTCCCCGCTCGTTTCCCTCTTTTTTTCTTCTTCTTTTTTCCCTTTCGCCTTCGTTTTATTTTTCTCTTCCACCGCTGCTTCCGAGACACTCTCCCTCTACGACTAAATTTAGCGGGATCGGGGAAAGAGAGGATAGGGTCGGTCCGAGGAGGAGTTGTCCGCTATTTCGAGAACGCGGCTCGTCCGCGCGATCCCGCCGCGCCGGCCAGGACTCTCCAGGAACGCGCGCGGCGTCCTGCGTCGCGAGACGCCGCTCCCTCGGGAGACGCAGGACGTCTTCGAAATAACCTCGCACATATGGCCTCCGAAAATAAACCCCATATTCCGCCTTAAGGATCCGCCTCGTGGCAAGGACCGGACCTCCCCTTCCGCACCCCCGGATCACTTGGGGCCTCTTCGTCTCCGTGACGCCGGAGACGCCGAATTACCGGGTCATGTAGACCAAAAAAAAAGAAAATGTTATTGAAGAGTAAGTGAAAGACCAAGAAAGAAAATTATAACACCATTTTTAAGGACATCCCCCAGAATTAGCGGAAATTTTACCACATCACTTGTTACGGAAATCAAGTACTGACACTTTCAAAATTTGTACGCCGCATTGTGTTTATCATATGAAATCGAAGGCAATCGATTCTGAAAGAAGGAAATCTTTTTCACTGATTTCGGAATGAACAACCCCTGGAGGAAATCACTCAGGAAATCAGGGATTTTAATGCTCGAAATCATCGAAACCCTGTTACAATTTTATAGCCGATCTTCCCGTGTTACCGAATCACATTGTTGTTTATCATGCGAAATCAAAGACAATTCTCGAAGAAGGAAATCATTTTCACTGATTCCGAGTGAACAGCCCTTCGATGTAGACGTTCCTCGGGAGCCTTCAAGTCGTATGCTCAGATTTTTCGGCAATTCAGGAGAAGATCCTTGGAAAGAACGGGGCTTATTCGAATCGACTGGTTTTGAGAGCTTATTACCCGAGGAAACAAGATGAGAGACGGGAAGAAGGGCTTATATATTTTTTTTTTTTTTTTTATTGCACCGTTATTATTTTTCTTATGATTAAGTGTCGAGAAACGAGAGGGTAATCGTCGCGGGCGCTGTTACGCGCAACGCACGGCGTCCCGGCGACATGCATTCTTCCCGGTGTAAGCCCCGAATCGGGAACACGCGTCGGGATATATCCACGGCGGCGCCGGTGACAAAGTGACAAGCGAACGGACGTCTCGAGTCCCGGGGGCGTGCATCGAAGATTTCTGGAAAATCGCGGGGGGCAATCCCCGGGGACCGGAGACTGCGGGGAAGCACTCCGACGCGCGGCTTCGATCGACGTCGCTTCCGAGGCGTCGCGGCGTCCTCGATTGCGTTCGACGTGTACGCGCATCGCGACGCTCCACGAGATATAACGTATCCGGGATAGGATTGAGTGAAACACCCCCACACAGATTCCACAAAGAAAATCCGTACGTCGACCCAGACCACGCGAACCGCGACGAACTGAAATATTCGAAATGAAATCGCAAAACTTTCCTAAGAAAACATCGCACGAGGTCCCTGCATCGCGCACGCACTAAGTGATAAGTCAGATTGGGGCGAGACCATACAAAACCAACTCAAGTGTGCAAGATAAACTTTATCAAAGGGGCTATTCACTCCGAAATCAGTGAAAACTGTTTCCTTCCCCGAGACCCGACAGCCTTTGACTTCACATGATAAACAATGCATGCACGATAAACAATCCATGATTTCCTGAGAGAACAACCGCCTCGCGTTAATCGTTAAAAGAAGTCTTTTAACCACCTAAGGACTATGAGTGAAGGTTTCAACCTACGGTCAATCATATCCTAACCTAAAATTCCTCTACACGCGTGAGTATAATCAACATATCGCAACGATTAGCCAGTTTCCCGGGAACTATTTCTTCGAACGTTAACGCTAATCTCCAAGAAGCCTACATGGTACGACGAACGCTATGATACCCTAACCTAGAATTCCTCAACGCGCGTGATTATAAACCGACGCATCGCGAGGATTACCCTCGGTCCCCGTGAGTATCGCACGCTGGGAGGGTCATTGAACCAAAACACGCATTCTGGCTCGTCCCTCGACAGCGTCTTCGGCGATTCGCGCCTATTTCCGTCGATGAAATACACGGCCCCCGTGGGTCTCTCTCG